TTTGATCGCTCTGCTGCGTCTTCGACGGCTTCATTGGAACCGTTTGAACGTCTCGAGGCCTTGCAGCGGTTGAACCAGGATCTTGGGAAGAAGCTTATGGACGCCGAGAAGACGTTGCAACGAAAGCTCCAGGACCACGAAGTCGAACTGGAAGAGATGGAAGTCCGCCTTGAGGAGGTCAAAAGCGAGCTAAGCGCGGCGAAACGCGAGGAGAAGGAACTTAGGAACAAAGAGCGCTCTAACCAGACACAGATCTCCATGCTCGAGTCCGAGGTTGCCAAAGTACAGAAGACCCTCGATAGTTCCCGCGGGATGTACAACTCTCTACAAAAACAGTATCAGGAGCAATTAGGTAAGCGCAGTGGTGCCATCCTTTTAAAGCCGGGAGACTTACACGGCTACTAGCCGAGTCTGAGGGCTTGCGCAATACGCTACGGCGAAAGGATGAGGAAATCCGAACCCTTATGGACACGTTGTCTCTCCAGCAGATCGAGACCAACAAATACATTAAGGAGAACGGGACGTTCGAAGAGCGCATTGTGGTACTTGAGCAAGATCTCGCACTTGCGCAGGAAGCTCAGCAGGATCTCAAGGAGCAGAAGCAAGAGAATCTCATGCTCAAAGAGACCATTGACCGCATGCGCTTCGATATGGATGATATGCGTGCAGGACTCACGAACAACGCTGCGCCTCCTGCCGGCGTCAACAGCGCTCCTGGTAGCGTCAGCAAAAGCCTCGGAGCGGAGTTGTTGAGCAAGATGAAGACTGGTTGGATAGATGAGGATGAGGAAGACTCCGTGGCGACGCTGAAGGAGCTTGGCATCGAGGATGAGGATGAAGATACAGAGGACGAAGATATCGTTCAGACCATCATCACTCGCACGAAGAAGGCAAGTTTCCCGTCTCCACCAGTTATCATCTTCACTGACATATCATGCAGCGCGGCTTGAGCAAAGCCAACAGGATGGAAGCCTCGTTTACTCTGGAGGACCACCGTGAATACGCAGACGCTTATACGCAATACGATTCGACCCCTTTCGTTAAGGAGTCGACAACGCAAACCGAATCCGGACCCAAGGTCCTTACCGCCTCGCTTCACACCCAGACCGACCCACCACCCCTCGCTGTATCGGCGCCCACTCAGACTACCCCTCCGATACCCCGCGTTACGACGGAGATGGAGATCCAGACCGACGAACCCGAGACCCCGCGTTCGCCCTCTCCACAAGAAGATGACGATACTCTCGCATCGTCTTCTTCAACTGTCCTCCCACCGACGCCCAAAGCCAAGTCTACTCCTCTGGACCTTCTCGCCCCCAACTCTCCGACGGATCTCCCTCCCTCTTACAATCAAGTCACTTCGGAGCCACCCCTCCATGACATCTTGAACCTCCTCGACACCGAGGACCTCTCTTTCTCCCATATCCCCGACTTGCAGAGGCGACATGACCTCCGCATTGCGTTCGAAGCCCTTCGTAGCTGGCACAACGGCCTCAAAACACCTTTGCGTTCCCGCGAAGGCGTGTCGGCGGAGGCGCTTGAGGATTGGCGCGCTGTCAAGGCCGAGGTTGGAATTGGATGTCGGGTGATTGACCAGGCGCTTGAGGACGCCACTGCTGATGGTGTATCGAGCCGGCGGCGGAAGAGCAGCCGGTTCTACAACATCTACAACACCTACGTGTATGGCGACAACGGGTCGGGAAAGATGCCTGGGGGTGGGTTCGTATCTCACGCCCTTTTGTGCGCTAGCGCAAGTGCCATCGTGGTCTTCGCGATGAGTCCATTCCTGGCGCACCAGTACGCCGTCCCGGGTGGGCCTACATATTACGACCGGGCGGCATGGTCGAGTTTCAACACGATGCACCCCGCCGGCGAAGGCTTCCCGGGAGACGGCACAACTGCAGTATGGAACTTCATAAGCAGGCTTGGAGGCGGCGCGGCCCGCATTGCGCGCGGATGGCCGACATAGGCGCTGCATCTGAACCTTCAATTTCTTATCGCTCAAGATCTTAGGATGCCTACCCCACTCCATCTGCATTTGTCCTCAAGTCCTACAAACACTCATTGACGGCCCTTCACTCACCATCATTTCTCTGCCACCCGAGGGCGCTGTCACCCTATGTGATTGCGCCCTTCTCATTCCTGTGCTATGTTCGTTGCTCCGATACCCATGCTATTAGTATATCCTGGCTATGGCCGACGCTCACTCCATCCGACATCGTTCATCATTCTATTGCATTTGCGCTCGAGCACGACGCGGTGCAGACGCTTTCTCCTATTCTCTATTCCTTGCATCCTTTGCGCTCGGATGCGACTCATGCGCTCTCTTGGTCATCTCTATTCTCTCACTCCCGCGTTGAAGCACGGGAGCATGCCCTTCCCGTCCTTCCCTAGCTTCATTTCTCTACTTGTGACGATGCATATTTACGAACACTGTAGACCTGCCAACAAGTACATGTACATTAACCCTTAACTGCGCTGCTAGATTTATCCAGTATAGTAGCCCTATCTCTCGTTGCACTGTACATCGCCATGGTTTACCACGCCCGTACTAATATCATTTCGAGACCTATGAATGGGCTAGACTGGACAATACCAATACAGTATATACAGCGAGTCCCCATGACCGTTGCAAATGAATCAGCTGAGACTGCATAGAGCGGCGTCGAGTCACCACACTCATGGTTTGCTCTGTGAGTCAGGCCTGCCAGATCGCGGATAATCGGCCGATGGTTCTCTTTTCTCCGGATTGCGCCCGGGCTCGCCTCGCTTATAACCCACGCCCTGCGCGTCTCGGAGTCACTGGGCGATTTACAATTCGACTACTTAGCTATGGCTACTTCGCAGGTCGTTATCAATGGTGCTGACCGCTCAGGCTCGAGTGTAAAGGAGGTGCGTAATCGAAGGCCGGGCCGCGACTACCAATGCTTGTACCCTGATAGAAATTGGGGCTTCCCGTTGATGGTGTAGAACTCTGCGGGTGTCAGCGTCCTCCTCGCGTCATCATACACGTCGTTTCTCTCGGAAGCTGCCAAAGCACGCAAGCCCAGCCCCAGTGCGCGTCGCTACTGTCCCTTCTCTCGGGACTGCCTGCCTTCTGATCGCGCTCCGCACACAGTTCGCGGGCTCTTCCCACTCGAAAAGACGCCTGGCGTTATTTCTCTGCTTGCGGGAAAACCAAATGCGGCGCTCTTTCCATTCACGGGCGTTCAGTTCACCGCACGCAGCGCGGATCCGGCCGCTGAGGAGGAAACGCTACTGCGTGTGGACGCGGACTTGCTCGGGACAGGGCTGCAGTACGCGCCGACAGATGGGATTGCGCCAATGGTGGAGTGGTTGACGTCGTTCCAGGAACATGAGCACGGACGGCGCAGGAGTGAGGGATGGCGGATTAGCGTCACTGCCGGGTCACAGGACGCGATCTATAAGGTACGTCCAGGAGCTGGAATCCCAGATGCATCGCGCTGAATACAGGACTATCTCAGGCGGTGCAGGCTCTCGTGAATCCGGGTGATCCTGTGCTGATTGAAAAGCCTGTTTATGCGTCTGTAGCGGTGCTCACTTCCAGAGGTATCGGAAGTGCTGACCCTTGACTCCAATCGACAGCGGTGTCATCCCCATGTTCGAGACCCTTCATTGCGACATGATTGGTACGTCTGGGTGTTGGAAGGAATTTCATTGGCGCACTGAAACGTGCACCGCAGAGATTGAAACCGACGCCAACGGGATACAATCACGGTCACTTCGCGAAACCCTAGAAACCTGGCCCTCGTCCAAGCCCAAACCCAAAATTCTATACACAGTCCCTGTAGGTACAACCTTTAAGAAGTTATATCACCACGTTCACGATGGGAAAGTACGGTTGCAATCCGACAGGAATGACGACGACCCTCGCGCGGCGCCACGAGGTGCTAGAGCTCTCGAGAAAACATGGTATCATCATCCTCGAAGGTATGCCTCGCATGCGACTGTCCCTGTAAATCTCTTTCTACCTTTCATATCCAGATGATCCGTATTATTTCCTATACTTCGGCAACGAGCCGCGTATCCCGTCGTACTTCACACTTGAAGCGCAAACCGGGGATCGCAGCGTTGGTCGTGTGCTTCGCTTCGACAGCTTCAGCAAAATCCTCTCCGCCGGTTTCCGCATCGGATTCGTAACGGGCCCGACACCCCTCTTGAACGCGATAGATATGCATGTGAGCTCAGTAACATCCTGCCTGCCCGCATCATCTAACAATTCACTGGTACCTAGACTGCCACGGCCAATCTCCAGGCATCATCCTTCGGACAAGCAGTCGTACTCACGCTGTTGCACGCGTGGGGAAGAGAAGGCTTCCTGGCGCACGCACACAACGTCGCACAGTTCTATCGCGCAAAGCGTGACATCTTTGAGGCAGCCATGCGACGGTATCTCGATGGGCTGGCGGAGTGGAGTACACCCGAGGCCGGCATGTTTTTCTGGTAGGGCTTCTGCCGGACCACTGCTCATATGAGTGCTTACATGGGAATCAGGTTCAAACTGTTGCTCGGCGAGGATGGCGACTCAGCGAGTCTCATCCAGACTAAGGCGTTTGAAAATGGGGTACTCGCGCTCCCAGGAACTGTCTTCTTACCAAACGGCGCCCGTACCGCATACGTGCGAGCGGCCTTTAGCACCCTTGAAGAGGGTGAGGTAAATGAGGCCCTGCGACGACTACGGGCTGTCCTCTTGAAAGAACGAGGGTTGCCAGAGGGTGCAGCATGATCAACTCGTTGATCCTTGTAATTGCAATAATTCGACGTCCTCGCAGTTCGCGGTGGGAATGAGCAAGTCCCAGGGAAGCCCGAAGGGTACATTTCACGATGTGCTCGGGGCAGATGTAGTGGGGTATGATCTAGCATTGTCGTTGTAGACATACGAAAGGAGCCCGTTTAAATGAAGAGACCAACTGAAGTCGGCAATATTGGTACCACTGATAACACAAATCATGCCCGCCAGCCCACGATGCTACCACATGGCCGGGATAGCTCAGCTGGGAGAGCAACAGACTGAAGTTCCTATGGCTTTCTGGAGGTCCCGTGTTCAATCCACGGTCCTGGCATTTTTTGTCTCTTTCACTCAACGTCTGGGTTTGGCCACTGCTTTTCGCATTACCACGGCAGCCAACTGTCGACGTTGTGATGCTACCCTGCGACCTGTGGCAACGCCTTCATTGCATACCCTCTGCCAATTACTACTCGTCCTTACTCATCCGGACCATCCGCTGCGGCGGTAACTTCGCCGTGAAGGGTGGCGACTGTGTTTGTGGCAAGCCATGATACGATGAAGCTTGGAGCTCAACTTCCCTACGGTGTCTCTGACTGGTGATACGGCGCGCTGTGACGCATACGAAGTAAGGGCCGGTGCGAACGTAAAAAGATAGGGGTGGCATAGTGGATGCTTCAATACGCGGGACCATACTACATTTTTGCATGCAAGGGAAAGCCACATCCACACATACATATAACGAGGCGTCTACTCGCGGGGGCCGCCACGACCAACGCCAGCAAACTGCGGACGGAACTCGCCTGGTGCGCCCTCCTTCTTGCCAGCATCGTCCCGCCGGCGGTAGTCGTCGCGATCGCCGCGGGGAGCGCGGTAGGCACCCTCACCACCGCCAGTACGAGCCTGCGCGGGGCGGGCACGGACGGGCTTGCGGTGTGTCTCAGGGACGACCTCAGCGGGGAGATGGAGCCACTCGCGAAGGTACTCGACACCCTCAGGCGTGAGGGTGTAGTAGTACCACTGCCACGAGAACTGTGTATTGACGTAACCCCGGGAGGTGAGCGACTGAAGCGCCTTGATGACCTCAAGGTTGGGGACGTCTAGCTCTTCGTGCTTGGGGGCGTTGAAGTCCTTCTTCGCGACAAGGACGCCCTCTATTAAATGCGGGTGAGGTGTGAGGGAAAGGGCATCGAGGGTGAGGCGGCGCACCCTTGAAGAGGTTCTGGTATATGGTACGCCTATTCTCCTTGGAAATGATCATGCTGGGCGAGTGGAATTTTGTGGCCGGTAGCTTCAGATAGGTGAGACTCGGAGGGTGTAAGGAGACCGACTGGACTCACCGCAACTGATGTCGCACTGTGTCCGACTGCAACAGATATGGGTCAGCACTGTTTGACGCCATCCACACAACCAGTTGTGCATCCAGCCCCTTCCCATGCCCCAAATCCATTCGAACAAAATCCCAGAACCTGCATAGAGGAAAAACAGTATATAAAGCGATACTCACAGTGCTTTGGATGTTTGAGGTCTTGAGGGAATGCGCGGACAGCGACTTTGGTTGACTGGTCGATAGGATTTGCGGCGAGCACAGGCGGAGTTTCGATGTCACCTAATGTGGTAATCGGCCACGCGACACGGGCGCTCGGTGGACAACTTGTTCAAACGTTCCAGTCTCGCCTAGTCTTGCTCAAGCTCAAGCTAGCCAAACTCAAGCTCCGCCGCTCTCTTTCTTCCTGGGCAGCTCCTCTACTCGTTCTCTCGCCCTGTAATTCTCCCACACACCATGAATCGCTCCGCTGCTACTTCTGATACGACCTCCCTGAAGGCCCCAAGGTCTCGTCTGCCTCTTTCGAACTCAAGCTCGCGTCTCACTGTGCCCCAGGCAGCCTCGACGCGCCTTACCACACCTTCCCCGACGCGTCTCACCCATCCATCACCGACGCGCCCCACCAACCCATCTCCCACGCGTCCCACTAACCCACCGCGCACGCATCTCAGCAATCCCTCTCCTACGCGCCCCTCATCATCCACACTTCGAGTGCCAGTGTCTCCTGCCGTTCGGCTTCGAACAACCTCCACCAATGCGAAACCGTCCTCTTCAACCTCCACGGTCCCTTCTCCCATACGGCTCCGAAAGAAGTCTTCCGCCGAGCCTCTAGCTGTCCCTCGCAATGGTGAACCGGAACTACCCGCTCCTACAAAAGGTCCCTCCATGAGTGTGAAGGAGGCAATTGCACTAAAGCGCGCAGAAGCAAAGAAGGCTATGGCTGCACAGAAGGCAGGGTCACGCAGCGCATCGAGTGGCTGGGATGGCCTCGAGGGCGCTTCACCGGCAGCCTGGGCGGCTCCGGTAGCTGAGTCTGACGACCTTGGGCGACCCTCCGTCCGTGAGACCATAGAGCGCGCACGTAGCTCAGGTGAGTTTCTGTAGACGCTGCTGTATTGTTCTCCGCTGATCCTCTAAGATTCGTCCCCAAGGTTCACTCAACATTGCGTCCAGAGACTTACCATGTATCCCATCTGCCCTATTCGAGATCCACCTTTCGGTGACACCGGAAAAACTGGCCAGCGTGCCAGATGAACCTCCCTTGCCGGAGAACCCTACAAAAAAGGCTGGCTCTAACTCGGCAACGTGGTACGATCAGCAGGATCTGACGTTCCTGCGGGCGCGAAATAATCAAATAGTCGAACTTCAACCAGAAATTTCACTGTTTGGTTCCCTCAAGACCATAGATGTGCGTGTGCACGCACATATATGGTGTAGCTCTTTGCCTGACAGTAGTGCTGCCAGCTTCAAAACAATCGATTGGCTTCGCTTCCTGACAGCTTTGCTGACCTCACATCACTCGTGAATCTCGATCTTTCCCATAATACCCTCACGCGTCTTCCACCCTATTTCTTTGCCCTCCCGGCCCTCTCCACTCTCAGCATATCGCATAATGCTCTTACGGCACTCCCCTTCAATATGCCTTTCGAACCTGATACGAAAGCGACGGCACCAAGCAGGCGATCAAGCGACTTCTTTTCGGCTCCAGACATCAAGAGGGCGACGCGTCCGCTCCCCAGTTTAGCGTCTCTTGATGCGTCGCACAACAAAATTGATGCCTCCGCCATCCACCACGACGCCCTTCCTCTGCATCTCGCATCTCTCAATCTCATCTATAACCCTCTTGGCGACGTGACTCAGCTTATGACTTCGTTGAGCTACCTCACTCAGCTCAATGAGGTCCGCATGTCCAAATGCGGCGATATCAACGATACACATTTCCCTTCTACCCTACTCTCGTCTGTATCTGTCCAGCCCTTCCCTCAGCTTGCCATTCTGGATCTCGAAGAGACACGAGTCACACAAGCAGGTATATCAGCTGCCTTCGCCAATATCTCTCAAGCGCTTGACTTCGAAGCGCCAGCCACTGATCCGCGGGCGGTAGCCGCTGGGAGACTCGTAGTGGTTGTAGGCAAGCGCATCATCCGCGAAGCATGGGAAATTGAGGCCGATCAGCATGTCCAACGTCTTCGCGAAAGGCGCAGTGCCGCAAATTTACATCAAGATGCTGCTCCTACCCCGGAACTTCCACCACCACCACCACCACCACCTCTTCGACCTGTCATCAAAGAGCAATGGGAGATTGATGCTGAGCAAGGGTTATTTTCTGAGGGCGCGCGTCGTCGGGCTCGTGCGCAGGCTGCCCAGCGTGAAGGAGAGGAGGCAGAAGCCGAAGCCCGCGCTGCCTCCGTGGACGTACCATCGGCGCTAAGCCGTCACTGGGATGCGCGCACGCACACGCTTACGCTCCCATCCTCGAGTCCTGCAAGACGGACCACACGTGGAGCTCCATCACCGGACGATTCCATACTTCCCCGCGCGACCCTTCCACTCGCCCTGATCACAGTACAGCCGTTTGCGAACACGCTGCGCGTGCTCGAGCTCCGGGGGAGACGCGCCGAACCTACTTTCCTGTTGCCTGACGAGAATTCCGGTCCGTTCCTGCCGCAACTAGAGATCCTCACCCTTGAAGGCTGCGCGCTGAACGATGTCGTGTCCGGCACGGATGTAACAAACGGCGGTACCCTTGGCGCACTGACACGACTCTTCCCCAGCCTGCACAACTTGGATCTCTCCTACAATGATCTAACCGGCAACGCATTCTCGTGTGGGGTGCTCAAGCAGCTGGCATTCGCAGGCGATGGTCGCGCAGGGTTGAAGCGGCTCGGACTCTGCGGTAACAAAATGGGCGGATTAGACGGGCTATCCGAGCTCGCGCGGTCGATATTCAGTGCCGGTGCGAAAGATATTGATGAGGAGCAACGCGGGAGGTGGACGCTCGAAGAGCTGGACGTACGCGAAAACTCGATCGCAGTGCTGCCGAGTGAGCTAGGGCTTCTGCCGCTGGAGGTATTCCTCGTGGATGGCAATCTGTACGTCGTCTTTTCCGCATTTGGGGTGTCTTGTTATCTGCCTTGCTCATTCTTCCTACGATCAGTTTCCGGGTGCCGCCGCGGCGTGTGTGGGAGCGTGAAGGCACGAAGGGCCTTATGGCATGGCTCGGGGCAAGGTTGGAATCCCCGTGAAGTACCTCGATAGCGTCACTTGTGAGTGGTCAGGCGTTTCGACGACAGTCTTCCTAAATCCCATAAAATCAACACAGTGGATGTAATTACGACAGGCCCAAGCACACATACATATGCCTACCATATGCACTTCTACACTTTCATGTTGCAATCTAGGACCTCCTTTCTTTCTCCATATTTCCGATTCGTATGGAGACTATCCATCGTGTTGTCATGATATCAACTAGGTATGTCAATAACGGCATACTTCCACACCTACCTGTAGGTGTCGGGCTAGCGCGTTGCTCGGGCTACGCCGCGGCGAGCGGCGGGATGAGACCACGCCCCGACTTCCTCCTTATATGTTGTATCCCCGAACACGGGGGAGTGTTCTCTACGAGATCAGGCTCCGGGAATGGATGGCCATGTCACGCCTCCTCGGAAGGCAAGAACTTGCTGTAAGTGGGTAACTATTCCTTTTTCCGAGCGCTGCAAGTAAATAATCACGCTGACACCCACCCTGCAGCGTCGTCCTGCGACGGACGTCCATGCCAAATATCGTCTCCGGCGAAGAGTGTTCTCTGTCGCAGCTGTTGGGACGAAACTGATGAGTGAGCAACTACGAGCTCGATTGTCAATGGCGTTCCTAAGCAGCTCCCCGACGTAAGCCCGTCCCGTCTGACGCCCCATCTCCACCATCCTCATCTATCCTGGCTCTAGGCGCACGCAGTGAGTATGTCCCCAATTACGACCGGTAAAGATTTCACCCTCCGGCCAGCTCGATGG